CAAATGTTTTTGCTAACAAAGGCTGTGCAGACCACCGGTCGATCACACTAAATTTTAAAGATTTTGGAAAGTCTCTTTTCTTAAAAAGTTTAAAAATCTCGTTGAAGCTGGAACCCGATGTCGCACAGCTGTACTGAGGATATTGTGAAAAAACAATGACACGTTCCACTCCGTCTTTCTCTAGTGATGAAAATGCATCTTCAGTTGACGGAGTTGTGTACCGAAATGCTATATAATATTGATGAGGAGCAGTCGAAGGTGATAACGTATCTAATTTTTTGCAAAGCAGTTCGCCCTGTTTTTGAGTCCACTTATAAATAGGTGAACCACCGCCAATCTCCGCATACTTTTTCTGAACCTCTGGGGTTCGTCTTTTTGCAATCCATGGCCCTAAACGGTCTTGCATGATCGGAAATTGTATCATATCGCGATCAGTCATGATTTTATGCAGAAAACTAGGCACTTCGTCCAATGAATGCGGTCCGCCCATGTTAAGCATGACAACAGCAGTCTTCGCACTCTTTGTATGCAATTTTCGTATTTGAAGCAAACTTCTTACATAAAGAAGTTTATTTGTGCAGGAAATCATGATTAAACAAATTTCATGAACATAGAGGTTAGGTTATGTTATAACGGAGATAACACTGTTGCTAAATGCTTAAGTGCGGAGTTGCCGACGTCTCGTGTCAACATTTTTTAAAAATTACCAGTAATTTATGTTTTTTTAAAATATTCCATAAATCTTATTTGGATTTTATGGGTGTTTGAAAACAAAAACGCTTGTTAAATAATTATATATTTTGGTGTATTAAATAAAACACATCAGCATACCTAGATATTTCGCCATCACGTTTATAGGTACTTATAGGTACTTTTATTTAACTCAATGAACATTTTTGCTGTTTTGTTGTGAGACGAAAGTCGTTCGGAAGAACGAGAAGTTCCAGATCGCGAATTTAATGCTGTAACAAACATCTTCATTAGGTCAAACTAGATTCAAGTTGTTCATTCCCACTTGCTTCAAATAACAAAAAGGGGCAGATCACCTCGGTGTGACCCCACGGTATCATAATTGGATTTGACCCATTTTCAATTGGCTTGTTACATGTGGTATATATGCAAAGTTTGAACCGAATAACTTCAAACGTTTGCCAGAGGCAGAGAGGCGTGACCGAGGGCGTGACCCTAGGGGTTCATTGGATTTGACCCATTTTCAATAGGCTTATTACTTGTGGCATATAGGTCAACTGTGCAAAGTTTGCATCAAATCGGTTCAAGCGTTTAACAGTTATCGTGTCCACGGACAAACGGACACCATCGACTTCCCTATAAAGCTTGCATCGCTTTGCTCTGCCGCTTAATAATTAATATCGGAATCGCCACATCATCACGGTCTGCCCGTGTGGCGTGTGCCGCAGTTCAGTTGAAGCTGGACTGCGGTACTCAGGGTCTCTGGTTCGAATCCGGGTTCGGGCTTGGATATTTATAAATAGAGACCGGATTTAATGCTTTTATGCATTACGTAAATATTGTATGTAGCTTAAAATAAAGCAATAATTTACACGAACTAACAAAAATGAATCACATTGGCGCAAAGAAAATAGTGCATATTTTGCATTTTTGGGGTTTTTGTGCATATTTAAGATAGATTAGCATTTTATTAATTTTTTGAACTATTTTTATTACAAAACAAGTTCCCTGTGGTACTAATTGCAACAATTATATTTTTATTTATAAACTATAAAGATAAACAAATAATAAATCAAATAAAATAAAAATTATAAGATAGAAGCAGAACAAAAGAAAACAATAAAAATAGAAGAAAAATAAAAATAAAAAAAAATAGAAAGAATAAAAAAATAAATGAAATACAAAAAAATATGGCCCCCAAGTTTGTTAAATTATAAAACATCAGTGGTGTTCAGTTCAGCATTAATTTATAATGCAAGCAAATTTTGAAGTTCAACAAATGAGATGACGAATGTTGGCTGGGGAAAATGTTGAACGTTTAAATATAGAACCTCGTCTAATACCTCAGCTAAAGTGCGCTCCAATTACTCGTGTCGATGCGGAAAGATGTTTCTCTGTGTATAACCACGTAATAGGCGCACAAATTTTAAGATGGACCACTTGGAACAATACTTAGTCATTAATTGTTTTAATACAACTAATGTTTAAATAATTAGAATTAAAAAAGTTTCAATAATTATTTGGTCATTTTAATTTTTCATGCATATCTTCATGCTTTTTTGTGCATATATATGTGCATTTTTGACGTGTTTTCATGCATATAAGGCCGGTCCCTATTTATAAATGTATACTGTGTAATAAAATGTAACATCCGTTTCCAGTAATATATCGGATATCCAGGATTGCTATTATTATAGGTTCTAAATATCTTATCTTTATTTAGTATGTATACATACGATAAGGCAATGCAACCGCATGCCACAATTTGTGACTTAAACAAATAGTCGCTGGTATTGCATATCTTGAGACGGGATGTGAAAATTGATTGTACGGCTACTATCAAAGATTAAAGCAATAAAATCAGATTTCTTTGCTTCTTTATAGGATTCGGATTTATTCGATTTACTCGATTCATTTGATTCACTCGATCTACTCAATCTTTACTCAATGTACGCAATTTGCTCAATTTAATCAATGTGCCTACTCAATCGACCCATAGACATATGCCTATGAATCGACTCAATGGAACTCAATTACTTATACACCTTAACAGTACTACACTGTATAGATAGGAGCTGTACTACACTGTACAAAACCCTCATCGTAGGTACGCGGTACGACGCGCATATGTGGCGCATATCACTTAGCTTTTCAATGTACACTACAGCACCATCCAGAATTACTAACTATAGTTAGTAGGTGTAGTATAATAATTTTTCTGCTTTCCAGTTAATTGGCTTACAATTTCCACCATACCATTACCCACCCATCAATCGGTCTACAAACCATCTACATCTTTAATGTTTTTATAATAGACGGTAAATATGCTTTACAACTAATGTCCATCCATTTACATATCATGTAATGTTTACTTACTGCACCGGTAGCTTGGTAGGTGGGTTGGGTTGTGAAAGAAGATGGCAGGACGAGTTGGCTTTATTTTTGACTTTACAAACTAAAAGTTTTAACACATTAGGGTAACTACTGACTTGAAAGAACATACCTAAACCAGGCGCTGGCGTGAAATAATTAAAAATTATTTTAACCAAAACCACAAGGTTTTAGAGTAAAATTTTGCTCTTAATGTGACTACGTTGCAATATCCAAATCAAATTCCCTTTCCAGTAGGTAACATTTCCAGCGCCTGCTTTAACTACGGCAAAACAAGTTTGTACATTCGGGCAATACCCGCGTATTTTTAAACTTTACATTTTGAATTAAATTAAATGAAGTTTCTGCTACACAACATCACCTTATGATTGACGTAATGTCCGAAATCAATAACGAAATAAGAAAATAACAAGACAATTAGTGAAACATCGATTATTTCTTATCCAACCCAATTAATTACTTTATCCAACACCTCTATGTTATCCAGTCATTATCATGACGAAATTAAACGAGTAAGGTATAATATAACCCACTAATGAGTTATGGACGTAAAATAACTCACTAGCAAGATAAAGTACAGGAACCATAAGTAAATCCATATAAATTTTCTGACTACATTTTTTGTTGTTTATTATTCCCCATAGCAACGAATTATTGCTTTTGTATTCCATGCACTCTAGCTTTTCGCGGACACGCAGTTTTTAAGATTTCCACGTTTTAAACCAGCTTGAGGAGGTGTTGGATAAAGTTTTGTATGGTGCACGTGTGTTAATTACAAATAAGTCACTTGAGAAAATAACCCCACTCGGCCTGACGGCCTCGTGGGCTTACTTTTTTCTCGGGTGACTTATTTGTAATATAACACACTTATACCATAAATAACTATTTTTTCTTTACTATTAGGAATCGATGTTTGGAACGTATGTCCATTTGAAGCGTGGATTGGTTCAAATCTAATCTTCAATGGTTAATAGCCTTGCTTGTGAATTGCTGGGGGCGTTCTAAATGCCTAATAATATACATAAGTTAGAAAAAGGCAAGAACGTGTCTTAAAAAATTAAGCGCCAACGACATACCGGCAAAGCTACAGCGAATATACTATATGTTACGGATATTTTGTTGGGAGCTTTAGTTAAACGTTTCTGGGAACGTGAAATAGGTAGGTTTTAAAAAAATTTGTACTAGGAGTGACCCTGAAGGCCGAATCAATGTAAAATGTTTTCAAAATGGTTGCATTTCCGGAAGTAGCTAGTAACTTTGTTATTTTAAATGGCAACCCTTATTTTTTATTGCACTTAAACCCATCACACAATGAAAAAAATAAGGAATAAGAAATATGAAATAAAAAATAAGGAATAACAATTTTCAATCTACTGATGTTTATGGATTTGCACACAACACTGAAATATGGAATAAGCCTAGGAAATAAGAAATAATAATTTCGTTCAGTCACATTTTTATTCCTTATTTCATATTGCGAACCAATGACATTAGAAGAGGCGCGCACGCGTTATCTATTTTCATTATTTTAGATTGTTAACCCAAAATAAAACAAGTATGAGGTGTTGTTTTTGTGAAGTTATGAAATTGGAAGTTGGAATTATATTTGATGAGCTGCCATTATAATGACTTACTTCAAACAGCATGAGTGTTCTCATTGGCTTATAGTCTGTTGCTATTTGTTTGTTGTGTTTTGCGTGAACGGCGTCACTATTCCTTATTCCATTTCTTATTCCTTATTTTTTTCATTGTGTGATGGGCTTAACGGTCGGTGAAATAACTATTAATGAATAAACATTGATACTATTCATAAGCTACACCAAGAGTTCTTCGCATTCCGATAGGTGGCGGTTTCTATGGCCGAACAAACGCAACATCATCAAAATGCTGGTATATGAGACACTGACAAATGTAGTTTCTTTTGCCACACTCGATGCTCACTTCCAGAATATAACCTCAAATCAAACTAAAATGAAACCCGTATAAACTTAAGAATTAAGGTAAATAAATTCAGTTCATGTATTACTATCGTCTAGTTTTGAACACAACTTCAAATTATTTAACCGCCAATCACCGTTTGAAAAATGCGTTTTCTTGTGTAAAATGTTATGAGAAATTCAGAAGAAGGCCTAAATCATGAAATGGCAGCGCATATTTTTGTGTCTATTTATTTTGTATGTGGGAAAAGTTAAGTCGTTACAAAAAATACTTACAATTAATATTGATCCTGGCAAAAAGGATTGTTTTTTCCAATTTATTAAACAAAATGATACTCTAGATTTGGAATATCAGGTTATCGATGGAGGGCATGGTGATTTAGATATAACGTTTAGTGCCATAGAGCCAGGTGGTCGTCTATTGCACCTTGATGTAAAAAAATCGGAAAATGTTTATCAAATGGCAGCTCAACGAAGTGGAGATTATCAATTTTGTTTTGATAACACCTTTAGTTCCTACAACACGAAAACTGTGTTTTTTGATTTGTTTGCTGAAAGTGAAGATTATTGGGGCAACAATGAACATTTCGATTTTAACATACCAGATGTAGTTTCCGAGGATGAAGTTTACGAACTCAAAGTTGAAGACATTATTGAAACAATCGGAAATGTGCGTGAACATCTAACTAAAGCGAGGCATCTACAAGACGTGTTTAAATCGTTTGAAGCGAGAGATCGAAATATTGTGGAAGAAAATTACTTTACGATCAACTCTTTTTCCTTCTTTCAAGTTATTGTTATGGTAACTGTAGGAATTATTCAGGTAATCATGGTTAGAAGTTTATTTGATGATAGATCAAAGGTTTCAAAAATTTGGAAACGGCTGGATCCAAAATATTAATGCCATTGCAGGTTATTCAAATTTAGCAATATCATAGTGTGATGTTAATATAAGAGAGTGGTACTTTGTAAATACTTTATTTTAGATACAACTTAATGTTAAAAGAATCTCATATTTCTAAAATTACAATGCATATAGTGTTGTCATTAACAATTTTAGTAAAAGGATAGAAAGCACATGCCCTCTTACAAGGAATGATTCCAATGTATTTGCCAGCACTTGTATATGTGAATTTGATTTTCGTTTATTTTTCCCATACACATGTACGCGAATTTGTTTTTAAGACTGCTTCTTTATGTAAAAATGAATTATATAATTATTTAAAATGTACGAATTTCAATTTTTTATGTTATAGTTTCATTAGTGCAAAATGGTAAGCAGTTGCTTCTTAACTTTTGAATGCTTTTAATAATTCCTAATTGGTATGATATATGTATCAAAATAGAGGGAATATCACTTGGTGTGCCAAAAATTATAGCCATTATACTGGCATCTAAATTAAGAAAATGTATAGGGTGGTAAAAGGTGGTGTGTTTGCCTATTACATATATCTGCTACACTGCACCTGGCGCTTTGGCAGGTTATAGGTTACTTAATAAGCATCATTCAGTGGAGTATGTAGAGTTACGTTAGAGTATTTTTTTTCTATTTACTGTGTGCGGAATAAATGTTTGCCAAGAGTTTTGCAGTATTTTGCCTTCTGCCTTAAGCTGGATTCATATGCATACGAAATCCGACGATACTGTAATCCGAAAGGCGTATGAGTGGATAGAGTAAAACAGAAAAAGTGGTTATGTTAGGTGAAGAGCAGAACTGGAATATAATTTCATATGAATTCCAACCCTTGAC